TTTGCTGTTCATAAATCGATATCGATGCGCAAAGGCGTATTGCCGTTTGCCATTGATGAAACTAATTCTCTCTCACTCGCTCTCTCTCTCGCGTCCGTCCGTGGCGTGTCACGACGATGTCGCGGCGATTGCCGCCGTGCCGCTCTCCTCCACCCACACGAACCCTATCGCTAGCCGCTACACTACGACTACTGCTACAACACAACAACAACAACACAACAACAGCTGACGGAGGCACACCGCACACCGCACGGGCGCGAGCGCGTACCGAGAAATAATAATAATTATTGTCATGTGCTGCGCCGCTCGAACACGCACGCGCGCGCGCGCGCACGCGGCGTACGCACTACGCACATGCGCTCGCCGAGCTGCGTCGCAGCACTTTGGCCGCAGGAAAGAACGATAATAACGTTGTAAATTGTAATAACCTACCTACGCGCTCATGTTTAGCACCATTGATTACAAAATAGTAATAATAATAATATTAATATAATATTATTATGGAACACTGCGAGTCGTAGAGATAACTTGTCGGCGGCGGTCGCGTTGTCACCCGCGTCGTCGCCGTGTGAAATAAAACTCCCGATAGATGGCGATAAGAAATCGGAACGTTAAATAAAATTCCTACTTGTTTTTTTCAACGGTTGCGGGTGCGGTGCGGGGAAAACAGGTTTTTAACCGTCACTCGACGGCCGGGTGCCGCCGACTGCCGCCGCCGGGACGGTGTCACCGATCGCCGATCGTAAACATTCGATACCGTTATAGGTACGATATTTTATTGTACAATATTATACGTATATATATATATCGATACAATATCTGGTACGACGACAAAAAAACTTAAAAAAACATCAGTACACAATTGAATTTCCGCTGGTTGTTTCCCGTACGAACAGTAAAATGTGCACAAAAGCCGTTGCGGGATTTCGTGTTCCGTTTTAGGTATTACGTTTTTCGCCTGTCCACCGCATTTGAATAAAAATGTCGTAAGACACCGTTTATAGAATTATAAACTAATCTCACAAAGAAAAAGTCCCGTTTGTATGATTTTTTTTTTTTTTTTTGTAAACAGATAATAATTATTGCCATGTAATATTATGCAATTGGAATCGGTGTAGCGAAAAACAAAAAATATACGTTTAAAATAATTTATTCTGTAGCGTGTAGAACATGTTATTGGCGCGATAATAATTCATATTATTATTATATACCTATAACTTATAAGGAATATAATATCATTTAATTTTAATACGATACAAATAACAAAATTAAACGTGCAGTACACAGGTCTACAAAAATATTTCACGTAAAAATATTGAATTATTCGTCATAGTCTTAACACTCATAACTTTTCACCATAGAAATCGGAAATAACTCTTCGATATCTCGCACTTGTATTTCTTCTTATTCATAATAATACTTCAGTCAGTGTAGTCATCATACGCCTATTTTATTTATTGCTGCATTTCGACAACGTTTATTCCTTCGCCCTCAAATTTGCCCACATACATTTTGGTTCTAAACCTGAATAAAAGTTCAACATGCAAAATGATTACATTAAACTTTTAAATTATGTTTTTACAGTTCCTCCTGAAAATACGGCCAGTGAGCAATATTTAGCGCTCATAATCAATGGTAGGTTCTGTTACACGTAAATTATCATCGAATTATTGTACATTGTTATGATATTTTATAATGAATATAAATTGTATGCGGGCAGACCGCGACGCGTGGTAAGTAGATAGTAGATACGGCGCGCGCGTTGTCCGAAAACGGTATAAGTACGCCGTTCTCGAGTGCCTACAACTGAAACCGATTGCCTATAAGCCGTCGCGTGTCGTACGCGTTGATAATATTGAACATAATTCAATATCAAAATACCGTCGGTCGTACCCTTCTATTATTACCGTCGGCTATCGGATGTGTCAGACGTCGTATGTACGCGACAGAAAATAATGATTGTAATCAGAAATAACGCCACACAATATTAATATCGGTATCGTCGTGTCAACGTTGTACGCAATTGACATTAACAATATCTGAAAATCGTTGGTTCCGGGTTCGTTCATACGCGCCAAAAGCGCGCACGTCGGTCAGTATCGACGTGTTGTCGTTATGTAATATAATGATTAAATAATAAATAATGGCTTAAATATTTATTATAAAATGGTTACTAATACTCTAACACATAAATATAATATCATAAATTCATGACTATTTAATACATTAATAAAATGATGTGTGTACTAGTTCACGCGAATGTGTGTGTGTTGTGTTCTGTTTGTCATTGAATATTTTATACTTGACTTGATATCAATTCGAATATTGAATACGGTTTTTATTTCTTTTGTTTAATGTGATACAATATTTACCAATTGGTGTATTTATTCTATAACAGTATTGTTTGTGTGGTTCGAATCGCTTTTACTCGCCGATAAATAAAAAATACATATTTATAATATTAAATAAATAATAAACCATCGCGTACACGTCGTTTGTCGTCTCTTATTTCCCCTTCCAGGCCCACACCGACATCGACATATCTCCCCGCACCGCGTAAAATAGTTTCAGCCTTCAGGCAACAGGTTATTTGGTTATTTGCCGTCGCGGTATCGTGTATCAATTAAAAAAAAAAAATACACAAAAACCCGTAATATGTTATACGCATATGCTCATTATTGTATAATATGATATAAAAATTGTAAACATTAAATACGAAATGAAATTATAATGAGTTTTTAATTATATTGATTATGGATATAGTGTGATAGTCATATTCTGCGTGCCTAGTGATTCCGAAACATAACTATAAAAATATCTACCCACAGTCTAGTTTTTCAACTAAAAATAGATCATTTTCCTTGAATTTTCTACCTATTTATTTTTTTTAGTTCTATAAGAATATCAAAATCCAATGCAAAGCTTTTTTCAATTTATTTAATGTTTTATAGCATTTCTCAAAAGCCTAAAAAAATGGTCAATTAGGAGCCAAGTATTTTAACGTTCAATGTACGCATACCAAAGTCGATCTCTTCGCTTGCAATTATTAATTTAAACAATAATCGTGTTCGCGTACACAGGTTCATCAACTAATCGAGTACTTATTCAAACCAAACAAACTTATAAACTACACTGCTGCACAAATACTAAGTAAAAACTGTTTTAATACTTCTCAATTGTTAAACTCTATTGACATATTTTCTCAGAATTTAAAACTGAATAATATAATTTAACCATAAATAAAAAATTAGTAATCATAATTCATAAGTTCAAAAAATACAATAGCAATTACAATTCAATGTTTATGAATAAATAACAAAAAAAATAATAATGTTTAGTATAAAACTATAAAAACAATTGTACTTGGATTTATGAAAACAGTAGTTATTATGAGAATCTAACTCATTTTTGGATAATATAAAATTCAAATACCATCAATTTATCATATCATAAAGATAAGAGAATAACGTAAACATTCACCTCCACGCATATATATGGTGGTTGACTTTAATGTTCGATATTATTATACAACTATTGTTAGCTGATATCATAAATGTATATATATATATATATATATATATATGGTCGCTATCTAGTGTTTTATAATATTAGCGATTAGCGATACTATCACAGAAATGCATAACAAAAAAATAATATTTGATATCACCACAATAATAATGATAACAATTTTATTAAGTGATATCCGTGATGAATTATTTTAAGTGCGTTGAAGAGAGGGGGTATATCGATAACAAATACTTACCGTATCCACTTCTCACGGTGTCCACTGTCCATTATATTTGATTCAAGACAATTATGTCGTATTCGATTTGAAATAAAATAATAAAATTACATTTTTTTTTTTTCGTAAAACGAATTTATAGTTCCCATTTTCGTTTTCACGATTTCCAAAATTTCCCCGCGCAAAGGGAATTTCCCTGTCACATACCAACACTGGATTTCGTTCGTCGTGCGCACGTTCCAAGTCGGCGGAAAATACATTATTATTATGTTGTCGCGTAGATGATAACATGAACGGCACAGGGACAATGGTATCCTCATCGGTATTGCTGATAAGTGCGCGCGCGTGAACTTTGCCGTGTGGACGAGGACGACAGTCAACAGCACCGCCAGCAGGTAATGTGAGTTATATAAGTTTTGTTATTATTGTTATAAGGCACCTTACCTATATTGCAGTTTATTGTGTTTATTAGTCTACAACGTACGTTCCGTTTGTGTGTGAATTGTATATTTAATATATACGCACGCGCGCGCGTGTGTATACGTGATTATTTTCTATAGTCTTTTCTATAAGTTCACGTTTATAGGTACTTAATCGTGCATAATTCAGGTCTCTGTGTGTATTTATAAGGTACGTATTTGTTCGAATCAATATATGCGTTATGTAGTTGGTACCTTGAACTTGTCTTTATTATTTGCAATTTTTTTTCTCACTATAATACTGATTTCAATGAACCATATTATTTTAAGAAGCACCAGAGTAACAATGATGAGCTTCAAGAGTAATTTAGATCAGATTGATGGTTTTTGTTCATTATTTTTCTACAGAGAGATCATTTTTTAAATAGTTATTTTCAATTAATGTAGTCATTGGTAAATCCTAATACGTTCTATGACTATAAATTGTAACTATTGATCTTTTCAATCATATTTATCTATTCTATACTTATCAATTTTAGCTTAATAATAATTATTAAATAACTTGAATAATGTTATTGGTGCTATGATAACTATACATTTTTATTTTTATAAAGAACTAATGATGACAATTAATGTAAACTTTGCTCGTATTAAAAACCTAAATTATTTGCAAACAATTGTTTAGGGTATATCTGATTAATAATCGTTTGGTTTTTATTGAAATTAATTAAATTTAAAAAAAATTGTTACTATGAATATAAGTAAACAATATGAGTTTTTTTAAATAAAAATGTATTTAACTGAATATCACAGTTATTATATTTTACTTTTATCAAAAAGAAAACTATGTTTAGGTAGTATAACTAAAGCATAGGCACAAATAGAGAATTGTATAGGGGCTTAAGCCCTTTCATCTAATAAAAAAAAATCGTCGCACTTTCCATTTCCAATAAATAAATATATTACTATTATTGATAAATAATTTGTTTACAATTTTATTACATAGTTATATTTATTATTAATTAATGGGTAACTACAATTTTAAATTTATTTTTCTGTTATAGTTAGTAATAACATTTAATATTGATAACATGTAACTTCATTTTCAATATTAATTAATCATAAGCTATTTAAACTTTCCCGCAGCATTGTTGATCTTATCTGTTTTCAATCTTTGCACGGTGGAAAATAATTGTTCACAAGTAACAGAGTTGATTGGCAAATTTATTGCTTCATTAAATATAATAATTTGGAAAGTTTTGTTGTTCACCATTCAATAAATTTATGTGATTTTGTACCATTTTCAAATCAATATTTTCATAAACTTATTAACACTGTATTTAAAATTTATTTAAAAAATATATTTGAAATTATTTACGCTGTACAGTCAAAAGAATCAGTTGAAAAAAAAAATTTAATACATGAGTAAGTTTTGGGGAAGAGTAGATACAATTAGGGGGGGGGAGGCAAGTTCCACAAGTTCCACCATATTTGCATCTATGAGATACAGCAATTAAATATGATTATAATCTAACTTGATTTAATTATTTTTTAAGCCTTTTTTTAGTTAATTACAATAGGTTAATATAGACATACTACTCATACATTACGAATAAAAAAGTATGTGTTTTTATTATGTTAAATGTTGGATTATTGGAATTATCCTGAATTATAATTTGTATAGTATCTATCTTTTAGTTAATTGATTTCTATTACATTCGACTATTGTCTATTCTTCTTCTTCTTGGGTTAATCGGCCACTAGGACCATCTATTACTATTTAAAAGATATATTTTATTACAAGTCATATAGATTAGAAGTCAGAGAATATTGAAATGAGACTTTTTATATCCAAATAATTTTTACTGTATTTATTCTTTTATTAATATTTTTAATTTATATTATTTTTGAGTTAGTTTTATTGACATTATTGATCTTGAATTATTACTATTACCATCACTAAAAAATAAAATATAAATATTTTTATTATTTTATATATATAAGACAATCTGTGTTATATTCTATTGTGTATTAAATAGTTTTATTGGTTTAATGTTCACTTTCATGGATAAATGTTTGTTTTATGCATTTTTATATTTATTCTATTAACTAAGAGAATACTTATGTACAATTAAAGTATTTTATATTTTAAGGTATTTATTTATCATCAGCTTGCCATGCCACCTCACCATAATAAATTTAACGCCATACTATTCCAAATTCATTAGAAAAAACATTGTTACTTACCATATAATATATAAAACCAAAATCTTTAATTTTAGCAGATCGTAGGAAGCTTATAACAATTTATATAAAGCTAGATTCTTTCATAATACATGTTAACCAAATCTCTAAGTTTATTGGTTTAGACATACAGGCACACACTCAAAATATGAAGAGGTTGTGGGGTTCTTCTAAATGAGGTAATAAAAAACATCAGTAGATGACCCCATAGAAATGTTCTAAATTTCTATGAAGAATAGGACTTAATGGGCAATTTAGGACTTAATGCATTTGAAGTTATTAAAAAAGACATTAGAGCTCTTGCTTCTATTATAATTAAATATTTAAACATTTATTATGTTTATTTTTTTTATTTACAATAGTTATATATATTTTATTTAATAAAATTATGTAGTTTTGCTATAATTATTACATCCAAAAAATATTTAAACTTTTATTTAGTTATAGAAGTGTATTAGCAGGATAATAATAAATAAGTTCCTTTTTTTATTTTGTCAATTTAAAACTTCTCTTAATCTGGCTTAATGGTCTAACTGTAAAAATTATACTATATAAATATGTTTTTAAATCAAACCAAAGTTGATATGTATTTAACTTTAAATAGCTTCTATATGAAATTATTAAACTATCAATGCAAATACTTTCAGATGGTTTAAGTGCATTTTTAATAATGTGTTCAAAATGTTTATTTAAAAATTAAACAAACTATTTAAAAAAGCAATCAAGGATTAAGTTTAGGTGAGTTCTGTAAAACTGGATAAAATAATTGAAGAGCATTGTAGATTGTATGTAATTTATATGTTAAAATATTTCATTGTTAAAAAAAATGAATGTTAAACAAATGAAATAGCAGTTATATCTAAATCTTTTTTTTTTTTTTTTTTTTTTTTTTTTTGTTAGAAAACTGGGAGGACGACATTCCATTTTCCCTTCTTAAACTACTTTTAAAAAAAGTTGTTTTAAATATAAAAAATATCATGCATTCTATGTTTATTTAAATTGTTTTATATTATTGTAAATACAAAATCTATTAAAGCACATAAAAGTGCTTAAGAAATTATTTGAGTTATAACTTAAAAACAAAATAATATACAGGTTTACCAGTTTATATTAATATATATTTATGTAACAAAACCCAAATTAGTGTTTATAATTACTAAAAGAGATATATAAAATATAATTACTTTTACATTATGTACTGAATACTAATTATACTTATTCTTTACAATACATTTTATTAAAATACTATGAATTGTTTTATTCTTATTTTATTAGTTTTATTACAATAATACAAATTAATATTTAAGGATTATCTCTAAAATGTATAAAAACATTAATTGTTCATCTAATTGTAATTACTATTGATTTTGATTAACTTCCAAATGTTATTTTTGTATGTGATTGAATTAAAATAATACCTAGTAATACCTACGAATATTTGAATATTTCTTTTTTTTATTTCATATATTGAAAAACTAATTTTTTTTATTTATAAAATTTTGAAAAATTGAAAAAAAATTATGTTTCTAATTAAAAGTGTTTTGTATTTGTATATTATGTACAGCTTTCAAAATGTTATGTTCAAAATTTTTTAGATACTTTAACAAAACTATACCATCTTTGGAATGCAAAATTTGGATGACTTAATAGTTTATTTATAACATTATGCATGGGCGTTCAACCCCTACCCACAGTTATTTTTAATGTGGCCCTCATTTTAATTTTTAAACATCAATTATTTGTATATATTATGAATTATTTTAATTGAATGATATATTTGTATTATTATAAACAACTGAATGGCATTAATTCATAAATAAAATAAATAATTATCAAAATATTAATGACCCAGTCTTTACAAAAGGTTAGACACCCAGGTATTATTTTTCTAAAATTTGAAATTAATAATCCTTTAAAAATGTACCAATTAAATAGAAATTTTAAAATAATTAAATTTAATATGATCAATGTAATTTTTAGAATTTTTTTTTTCATTAATTAATTTATTATTTATTTAATTGCTTATTTACTATCTACATAAAATATGTAAATTTTTATTGATAGTAAAATTTGAAATAAAGAGGGGCCCACTTATAAGTCTTCTGAATATGAGTTATTATTTTATTAAGTTGTGGTTACATGGGTTTTTTTTTTTAGTTAAATATTGAGTAAGTCTCTAACCATGTATGACTAATGTGTCATTTAGGACTTTAATTCTTGAAATTTAAAAATCTTTGTAACCTTCAAGTAATATAATATTAAATAAATAAACAAAATAAGTTCATAGTCTGCATAACTAAATAATCATTTACATTTAGGTATTTCAACTTTATATGTATACATTTAACACATAAATAAATATACTGAGTTGGCTATTCGTTTGGTATGTAATTCATTCAATTAAGCTTAAGTTTAAAATCTGCTCTGGCACCTTATATGTGTTATCTTTCTTTATAGAATTTGATCTAAGAATTGTATTCAAGTTACCACACTTGTCTTTTACACTTGTGTAATTTTAGTAATAACCATCATGCACACTTGTTCACCTGTAATATTTTAGTATGCATTACAATATATAACATTATAGTATTATTTACATCAAATTTAATATTGTTTTTATTTACAACTGTTAAACATTTTTATAAATTAAATACTTTAAAACTTTTGAAATTATATTTTGATAATGAAAATATAAGACAATGTATTACTTATATAATATTTAATGAGTTAGATTTATTCTGATTCAATAATGTTTTTATATCACATACAATTGTATTTTGTATATATGAATATGACAGGTCCAATAAGACAAGTTGTTTAAGTCATTAATTATTTCATGAGTGGAAATTATCATTGTTCACTGTGCAGAGTACCCTAAATAATAGGTAGCAAGACAGATAAAACTTAATAGATTTTGCATAATTAGTGTCACATTTATTTCTTTTCTTGAATATCATTATTTTATAATTGTTTGAAATTGTGTTTATTAAAATATAATTGTGCATTTATAGTCGACTACCTATAGTCAAACCATCATATATGTCTTGGAGAGTATTAAAAACAAAAAGTACACTTGCACACAAACAATAATAGATACTATTTTTTTAGATAGAACAACAAATATGGTTTTATAGATAGAAAATAACCACAGTTAATTTTTATCTATTAGTTAAAACATGGTAAATGTTGATACAGTATTATTTATCAGTTATCATCAAGGCTGTAATTTTAATGTACTGAAAAACTATGAATACCTATGTATGTGCTTATATATTCCAAATTAAGATATATGCACTAAAAAAAATTAAATTTTTAAGATAAAAGAAGTTGAATAAATATATTTTATTTAAATTGGTAATCAAATTTGTATCTTGCTTATTTTAAATTCAGGATGAAATTCATAGATACTTTTAAAATCATATGAGAGAATGCTACATCTGTGCATGTTTTGTCTCTGTCTTACAAACATACAACACAGAAATGTATGGTTCAGTAGAAGTAATATTGTGATGTTTATTTTTTACTTAATAACAACATTTTATGCAAGAATACTATTTATGTTTGTACTTATTTTTTTTTTACGACTTTTCAGTTTTCAAGTAAATTAACTTATAAGCTATAATTTATCAGTATAAAAAATATTACTATTTGAAAATGTTCATAATTCGCTTAAAAATGTATTGTAAAATCTAAAAAATTTATGTATAAATACAGCACATATAACTTTTTTTCTTTATTAAGTGTAATGATAGGACAATTCATTCTAATAATAAGACTAATGATATAAACTGTGATGGTACATTTTCCATTTTATACTTTGTTAAAACAAAGACAATATAATATGTGGATTTGAATGTGTGATGCATAGATATATTAAGTTAAGATTTGGATTGAATGTAGAGAGTACAATTTTGAGGACAACTATTAGAAAAAGACTGCATACAACTGGGTCCTATCATATTCACAGATATTAGAAACTTAGAACTAGTATATTAATATGTCTATGGTTTGACATCCATCTTGATAAATTTTAGTTGCTTACAGTTCAAATAACAACCGTAGTATTGTAAAATATAAAAATACTAAATTAAGTAAATGTAATTTATAACATTTATACGTAGATTTTTTGTTGGGATTTTATAAAAGAAATATTCGTAAATTATAAAGGACAAATTGTGTGTGCAGCAGTAAAATACTAACATTTTATGTATTTTTATGACATAATGTTATTTTATCACTTAAATCTGATAAATAGTAATTAATTTACTCTGTACAGAACTATTTGTTAAATTACAGTTGAAAAACTATTAGCTAAAAATTAAATTTAACATTCCATATTTTTTTAGAAAATAATTTCCTACAGAATTTTTATTAAAGACGAGAGTATGGAATTATAAGTTGTAATATATTTTATTGGATTGGTTTAATATGATTAATTTATGGGCTTTACGATAGGTTTTATTCTTGTTATGATCGATAAATCTTTTATAGATAAAACGAGTATTCTTAAAATATAATAAGATTTCTCTAAATATTTCAAGTTAGACATGATAGTATATTTAAAACAGATTATCTTTTGAACTTCTTAGTTTCAAAAATGTAAAAACAAATTTATTTTATTTTAATGTCTTTTTAGAATTCAACTGATATTTAATTCTTACAATTTTTAAATTACATTTTAAAATACAAAATATTACACCGATTTAATTGGTTATTAAAAAAAGTTAAAAATGTTGGTAATTATTTTTTACAATGATATGAATTTCAGCAAATAATATTTTGCTGTTTAAATCTTTAAAACCAAAAAATTATTTTTGAATTCCTTGGTAATTTTCGTTGCCTAGTAAAATGATTTAATATTGTTTTCGTATTAAAATTAATACCATAATTTATGATTGAACTACTCAGTAATTTATTTAGCAATTAGTTTTATTATGGAAGTATAGTTGTATTTTTGTTTCTTCGTAATTTTGTTTACTTCAAAATTGTTTTAGTAAAATAATTTAATCATTTATTGTAAATGATTAAATGAATATGATTAAAGTAGAACGCAATATAACCATTATCAGAATAATTATTTTTAATTTAGAGGACACCATATATCGATTTCTTATCTTCGTATATCATACTCGCAATATACCAATTTACTTTTTGTTATACTACAACTTTTTGCCCCGGATAAAAATTGGAGTTAATTGTCATACCATCAAAAATACAAACGAAAATATTATCTTTGTAAAAGCGTTGAATTTTTTTTTTTTTGATGTCCTAATAAATTCGAAAGTGATTTATATAATTATATATGATTTTATAAAACTAAAATTTAGAAAAAAAAATTAACGCTATAGTGAAGGTAATGTTCTGATTTATACATTTTAACAATTATTATAACTTCATGGTTTTATTCTTTCAGGAACATGGGTCGCCCAATACAAATTCATTGACAGGATACCGCAGATGTAACGCTTATTTTATGAAGGCTGTAGCCAATTTTTTTTTTGAAATATGTCTGCTGATCATTCTGAATCAAACAGTAAGATAACAGGTTAGTGTTCTTATAATTTAAATAAAGTTTATAATACATTTTAATATTAAATGGTACAAAAATAATATGATTTATATAATTTAACTATCTGAATAAATATAATATCATTATTTTATTTTTTACTTATATGAATACAAACGAAAACTATTAATATGTGGGTTCGTCGAGCTTTGAATAAACGATGACATCACTATTCACTAGACTATTTGTGGTTGAATATAATGGTGGTTAATATTATTAATATAAAATTATATTAATAATTTTTAAAGTTTAATAACTTGTGTTTATTGTAAGTGTTTCTCTTGTCCGACGTTATAATAATTAACGAATGAAAATGTGCACTGTGCAGTATTGCTTAAACTATGAATATTTTTAATCACGTATTTAATTGTAGTAAAAATAACATGTATCGAAATATTATTTTATTTAAATAAAATTATTGAAAACCCAAACAAAATATATTTTACTGTGTTTAACTCATGTGTACTAGAATCATTTTAGTTTAAATTATTCATTTTTAATTTATGGTGAAGAAAACAATTAATTATATCATGATTGGAATTCGCCGAATCAAGGTTTTCCTTCGAGTTCGTTGTTCTTTACTTAATTGGAAATACTATAACTATAAATAGAAAATTTGTTTTAGTATATTATATCATTTTTTTAAAACTCTTTTAGTATTTATACCAAATTAATAGTACATGTTTAATGTTAAATAATATGTAGTATTGGATTTTAAAAAACATTATTTATTAATTCATTATACTATGTCGATTTCAATAGTTTTGGCGTAAATTTTTATAAAATAAAAATTGGGTATACAATTCATTATCTAGCATCTAACTATGTATATGTCTATCCAGTATATGCAGTTGAAAATTGTTGTTTTTTTATCATTATTTTATTTATAAAGTAATTGATAACATTCATTTCATGCTAGTAATTCATACTGATGTTTATACGTATAAGGTTATAGGTTTTAGTATTAAATGTTGATATTATGTAGATCAATATTTGTAAGGGATACATCACCTGTTTGAAAAGTATATGGAATTGAAGAATTAAAAATTATAATAAATTATATTATATATTTTTAAAATGAGATATTTAATATATTATCTATTTTGATACATTATAACTATACAAATAAAATATCATTGGCTTACCATATCATTGAATGATTCATGTCTTAAAAATTAAACATTTACTTATTATTATATAATTATCTATTCTATATTTCCAATCATCCCGTATATTATGATTAGTATTTAGTATATTATATTTTTAATGGAAAACAAGAAATATTTTATTTTTACCATCTAATGATATTTTAATTTTCAAGTATTGTTACTGTAAAGCATTCAGCGATAAATAAGCAAAATATTAACTAATTAACAAATTTATATGATAACAAACAATATTAAGTTATAAGTAGGATTTAGATAAGAATAGAAATAAAACATTAAATCAATATTGACAATTCATATTAATTGCTTAACTAAATGAAAAGTGTGCTTACCATTCAAAGTATCAATTACCTTGGTTTAGGGGCCCAGAATGTACTCTCAGATTATATTTTTTGGAATAATAATATTATTAATGTAAGTTTTGAAATATTAAAATTTTGAATGTATTATTAAAAAATGATTTAATATAATTATTATTATTTAAAATAATATCTTAAATTACTTAATCTAACTTACAAATGACTAAAAATGTGTAAATATTTAATAATGTATTTACAATTATTAAAGTAGTATCCTATAGCTATTCAATTATTATCAACACGGTGTATATAATGTTGGCGATCTTTAAATAAAGCAAAGTGTTGACCCCAAAATTTACTATAATAAATTTATCGCGTTCTCGTCCACCAGATTCTATTTCTGTGTTGCGTGCCATGCGGTATGCCTTCTCCCGGACATCGTCGACACCACGAGTTTTAAAAATCCAACGTCACTTGGTCGTTTTTTTTAAATATAATTAATCAGTTTACAGTATGGTCAATGTTAATATTAAGTTATATTTGTAAATTAATTATAAGTGTTTTTAATCTAATTGTTCTAAAATAATATGAATACGTTGGATTGCATTTAAACTTCGGAGTACTTCTTCTCTTTCGAGGTAAACCTATAAATTAATAGAAGTTTAAAAAATGATATGTTAAATCCTAGTAAAAATAATTTATATATATCTTCGAAATAAATTTTCTTTAGTTACTTTGAAAACAATTTGTTTGATTTTTATGATTACAAAATAAATACATTTAAACATTTCAATACAAATTATATTGTGAATTTATTGTGGTCACATTGTTAAACTGTTAATAATAATAATAATAAAATCTGTATTAGGTGAGAAATCTTTCTTTTAAGTTTAACGAATACCATTGTTGAATATTTCAAAGAAAAATTGCCCTGTGTATAGTCAAAAAATATTTTAAACAAACGTGTTCGACAACCATGTTCAATGTTCATCCTAGTGTAGAATTATCTTAAGATAATATAACACAAAAAGGTTGGCAGTTGTAAACTCTATCGTACATGAATTATCGAGTAGGTTAATATTATAGGTGTGTTAAATTTGAATTTAATTATATAATATCATTGTATGTGAAAATAATTTTGAGCGGAGACGATATTATGTCAGTTCATATTACTCAGTATATTTTATATAATGTATTTTGGATATCTTTTAGGTATCTAAGTCATTTATTTTATTTAAAGTAAAATTTGTTTGTTTCCGAAAATATTGCATGTCTTTTAATGTTATCAGTATTTATCTAATAAAATATTATATATTTATACCACATCTTGTCAACCTATATAAATATCGTACAAGTAAAAATAGATTCATAGTATAAATAGATAATATCTTAAAATAATTCAAAAATTTCATCGCGTTAAATAAATTTCATGATTATGTAGTATACGATAATAAACGTATAAGTATTAAGTTCCCAAGAAAAAGGTTTTTAGATTACAACAAAATAATATTATCATCGTCATTTATCGTCTAAATAAGTAATTTCGTCCTAATTTAAAATTAAAATGTCTATAAAAAGTAATTTTTTTTATATATTTTAAAACTTAATGGTATGAGTATGAACTACTTAGATACTTATGAGAAATCTTGTATTAAATTTTCATAACTAAGGTATGAAAATAAAAGTATTTATGCATTTCTAACTACAAAATAGTTCTTTTGCAATTTTGATGAATTTGGTGAAAATTTTAACTTTAAATGCATATAAAAAAAATATTGTTTCTGTGTATTTTTAATAGTTTAATACAGATATAGGAACAACTTTGGTTGGATCTTGTGATAAATTTCAAGAAATTTGATTCGGCAATTCATTTTTTATCGATAAAGATTGAAAAGAAACTAAAAATAATTTAAAATTTTTAATGCATAGAAATAACACTTAAATAATATTTTGAAAGTTTTACTATGTATAGAAATTGATAATATAAACATTTTGTGAAAATTTTAAGTATCTACAGTAATTTGTTTTTTAATTACAGTAACAAACGAAAACCGTTTGGAAAGAAATAATTATTCTATGGGTGAAAATTCGTTGTAAAAATTTTAAATTCAAACGATCAAAAAATTTATTTGATTTTTCGGAAGAAATTTTTTTTTTCAATATCAGTTTAAAAAACTGAAAGAATTTTGTATTGAAATTTTAAATTTTAGGTATAAACAGAATAAATTTTATCAATTTCTACCTACAAAATTATTGTAATTTTTTATTATATTAATCGTTCTAATTGTTATTGAATTATTGTATCAGCGTTCAATTATGTTATTTTATAATTAAAACATTTTAATAAATGTATCACTTTTGATACTGATTTTTAACTTACAGAAAAAAAATAAAAACACGAAATTAGTATTAATTATTAAAATGAGCTTCGACTTTTGGTCTCTATATTGTTTTGATGATATTATTTATTAATTTTAATATTATTTATCTCATAATTTTGAACATGTTTATTTTATACAGACATATTATGTGCATGATCTTTTTTTTTTCTTTTTTCTTTGTTGATTGAACTTCTTGGAGTATATTTTGTAGTTTGATACGGAGACATGGAGTTCTGTATGTTTTAAATTTATAAAAAAAATTATTTTCATACTGACTTGTTTTCTTTTATAATTCTTATAACTATATAAAACATAAAAAAATACTTATTAAGTATTTATTTCTGGGTTTAGGAGTAACATATTATTATGTATAATACTTTTCTCTGTATAAATAATTATTCATTAAAAAATAGATTTTCGAATTAAAAAATAAAAATAGTTTAGTTGGAACTTAGATTTTGTGGTTAGGAATTAACCATAAATTAGAAAAATTAGTTCATAAAAAAAATTTTATTTGTATATGTATAACAAAGGTTTGCATCACAATAGCCAATGATTTAGTGTTGTTTATATGCCAGGACTTCCCGTTTTCTAATTTTTTAAACTTATTTTAAATTCTAAGTGGCGTAAGGAAGTCATTAAAACCATTAAAATAGTTTTGAATGTGTTTATTTATTATTGCTTTATAATTAATAATTAAGAATACAACACTATTGTTGTAAAATACAATAGCTATTTTGATGCTTTAATTGAATAGAGGCAAAGCACAAGAATCTGTTTTATGGTTTCCATTTTTAGTTTTTTTTATTGACGATGCCGTACAATGATTTAATAAATTAATTGTTGATTTTATATGACATACACGTGTTGTCTGTTTATCGGGAATTCATGTACCAACTGGTTAATTATCTCGTTTTTTAACTCTCACGGAGTTCGAGAACCTAAATCCTAATATCTACCATATTTCATAGATAGAAAAATATTTTTATTTTATTTAGTGATACATACATTTTAAACCATTATTAATTTATTATTAGGATATTCAATTTAAATCAATAACAATTTAAAATATATTATGAAGTTTTCATAAAATAATCATATAACTGATATAACACGCTAGGAATCTGTTTATA